CGCATTGCATTGATTTTTTCCCGCGCAAAATCAAATCCCAAAATTTTGGGCGGCTGCACAAGTATGCGCGACGACAGTAGTTTTTTCGTCGCGCAAGGTATATCTGTTCACACGTTTGCGCGACGAAATTTGTTGTTCTAGTCGCGCAAAGGTCCAATTTTATAACATTGCGCGACGAAAATTTAATTTTTTCGTCGCGCAAGGGTTATTTTAATGACGTTTGCGCGACGGAAATATATGTTCGTCGCGCAAAGTCGAATAAGTTTTCTGAAAATCGCGATCTTCTCCTTCTTCCCCAAATTCTGAAACCTAACCCTAAAACCTCCCAAATCTTTCCGCCGTGACCTCAGCCCCTAATCCGCCCCAAATCAGACCCTGCCGCCGCCACCGTCGAACCCAGGAGCTTCTCCGCCGTGGCCGTCCATCCTGCCGCCGTGAATTGCTCGGTTTAGCCCGAATCTCCGCCGCCGTTGTTCTCTCTCCTCCGGGCACCAAATCCGGCAATTGAGGTATGCTTTTTGGCCTATTTTTCATGCTCTAGCTGATGGTTGTGTAGGATTTGATTGATTGTGTGCATAGGGTAGTCAATTTGAAACCCTAGGTTTCGGCCGGTTTTGAAATTCAAATTCCGGCCACTTCCGTCCGTTTTCCGGGGTAGGTCCGAGAACAAAAGTGGCTCCAATTGATGTTTTAAACCTAGGGTAGGAACCTTGCCCCTTAATTTGTAGGATTTCCCGGGGATCGTTATCTCTTAGGGCACCCACGCGCTGCCGGCGCGTGTGGTGGCGCGTGGGGTACTGTGGCATAGGGCTTTTTGTCCCAGTGCAAACATTTCGTTGTCACGAGCGCGTAGGTGTGCTCGGATTGGAATTTGGTTATCGTTTGAGTCTCGAACGGTTTGAACCTATTGTGCGATTTTAGGGTTTGATATGTTCGGACCGTTGGATCGAGCTGAAACTCACGTATGTGGTACCATGTATTTATAGGATCGTTTAGGAATCGACGGATTGTGGATCGGAGTCCCGGATACTCCGAAATCGCAAACCCTAGGTCAAACTATGATTTTAATTAGTTAGTTCAATTTTTTACTGACATTGTATGTGCTACATTGGATTAATGAAATTGTGCAGATGTCAGACTTGATTAGACGTCGTAGGGCGGTGACGGCTACACCGAGTTCGGAGCCCCCGGCTCAGCCGGTATCAGCTGCCACTGCTCCAGCACTGATGGAGCAGGACCACGTGCTAGCTGGTCCTGGGGGATCCCAGGCGGCTGCATCATCATCTTCTTCGGTGGTGCAGCCTCTTAGCGCTAGGCGGCGACACCGGCCCGCTACCACCACCGACACCACATCCACTGACTGTACTGGTGCCTCGGGGGCACCTACAGGTAATACCCTTCCCCTTTCATTTTTTGTTTAACATTTTTTTAATTGGGAATTTGATGGTTCAATTTGATTGTATATGTAACAATATTGTCCTATCCCTTTGCAGCCAAGAGGAACACCCGAGGGCCGTGTCGGCAGCTGAAGACGGCGAAGGTCACCCGGGTGACCAACAGTCGTATCAGCATCGGATATGACGAGCGCCATCGGGCTGCACCGACGGCGGACTTGCATAGCTCCTTGGCCCACGACATTGGCCACGTCGTTCGGACCCATTGCCCGATGCAATGGAAGTCTTGGAAGGTCATACCTGACGAGATCAAGATGCAAGTTCGCGGCCAGTTGTCGGTATTTTTCCTATCTTTTAATTATTTTTCTTTCAAACTTTATATATTTCTATTACTTAATGTATGTAATCAATTTATTGCAGACGAACTACGACTTAGAGGACCTCAACGAGGAGACTTTGGCGTACGTCAACAGACTCTTCGGTGAGAGGTACAAGCAGTGGAAGAGCGACTTGCACCACCATTTCCAGGCCTTTGATGATCCGGAAGTCGCTCTTCAGGAGGGTTGCCCGAAGGAGCTTGAGGGCCGGGAGGATAGTTGGGCGTGGCTCTGCGCTCATTTTCAGGCGCCCGATTATGTGGTATTTTTTTAATAATATTTGTTTAATGTTTATTTTATTTTTTATATCTCATTATTATTTAATTTATTTATAGTTCAATTCTTACGTTTTATTTTTTGTATAACAGAATAAAGCCCAAGTGAATAAGGGCAATAGGAAGAAGAAGACTCTTCTTCACCATTCCGGCTCCAGGCCCTTCTCATATAGGATGGATGCACGGCGTCGGGTAAGAATAATATAATTTATATTTAATTTTTAATATGTCATTATTATTAATTTCTTTTGTTCATACTAATATTTTTCTTCTCTTGTTCAATTAAGGGGGGGTCGAAATTCCCAGAGATCGACGTCTTTGGTGACGTTTATGTTCGACCTGGGGATGAGTTGGCCGAGTCCCTTCATGTAAGTATTATGTATTTTTAATTCTTATGTTACACTTTCAATTTATATGCATTTTTTAATTTATATTTTATGTAATGTTAAACAGACGACGATGGTGGAGAGGAGCCAGTTGGTTCTTCAAGAGTCCGCCTCCCAACTTCCTCCCGAGACTCCGATCGAGTCTGTGGATCCTCCGCATGATGCTGGATTTCAGATTTTGACGCAGACGTTGGATCAGACTCTCGGGAGGAGGCCGGGAACGTATTGTAGGGGGATGGGGAATGCCCGACAGAGGGAACCTCGACCGCGGTCATCGTCGCAGGCAAACAGTCAGGTGACTGTTTTGACATCGCGGGTTGCCGAGCTTGAGGGTCAGATGTCGGTGATTCTGCAGTCGCTCGCGCGGTCCGGGATTCCAATCCCGAATTTTGGTGCGTCGACCTCCGAGCCCGTCCAGCCCGAGCATCCCCAGCACACCACGGCCCCTGCAGACGCCCATACCTCCGAGCCGCATACCTCCGAGCCGCATACCTCCGAGCCGCATGTGGCAGATGACCAATTAGATTTCGGAACATTATTTGATTAGTTTGTTATTTTTATAATTTATTTTACAATTTGTATACATTTATTTTATTTTATATAATAGATGTTTTCTTTACGATTAATTTTTTTAATTGTAATTTCATTTTAATTAAAAAAAAACAACATTTATTTTTTTACAAATTAAAAATCAAATAATAATAAATTTTTTTTAATAATATATATTGCTTTTGCGCGACGAAACGTAAATCGTCGCGCAAAAACATTTAAATATATCTTAATCTTGCGCGACGAGTAATTTCGTCGCGCAAGATGTGTATGCGCGACGAACAAGATGTCGTTGCGCAAGGTTCATGTAGTTCGCGCGACGGACAATTCCGTCGCGCAGTTTTTTTTGCGACGACCTCTGGTTCGTCGCGCAAATATTTGTGCGACGGACAATGAGGTCGTCGCGAAATGTTTTTTGAAACGAAGATGTTATACGTAGCGCAAACTGCGCGACGAATGGCATTTGTTCGTCGCGCAAATCCTTTCTTCACGACCTTTGCGCGACGGATTGTGCGCGACGAATATTCTGTCGCGCATAATGATGTGCGACTAAAATCGTTTTTGCGCGACGAAAACCCTTTCGTCGCGCAAAGACTAAAATGTAGTAGTGAAATACTTTAGGGTTAAAGGAAAATTCTGAAAATTTTAGATTCCGATCAAAAATTTCAAAGGACCGCGTTTATTAAAGACGACGGTAAATACAACCCAGTCGTCGTTGTATTTCAGACTTACAACGGTGGTTATGTTACACCGACGCCGTTGTAAAGCGTTTTGACATTGCCCATACAAAAACTGACGTCTAAAGTATTAAATAATTAGATTTGCTTTGCATTTCCTGGGATTCGAACGCGCGTAATTGACCAAAAAGAGGGTGAGAAACCGACGTCGTTTCAATAAAACCTAAACCCTAAATTTTACAATAATTATAAAAAAAATACACAAGTATGAGAAAAATGAACCGAAAATTGCTATGGACTCCTTACAACAATGCCTTTTATATTAGTAGGCTATTATCCATATGAAATAATTTTGAATTTTATGACCACCAATAGATCACATAAACCTTAGGGTTATGTTATGGAAAGTATATGACTATTGTGCTTTGTCTCTAAATCCTTTTGACTTTTGTTATCACTTCTAATTTTGAAATCTAAAATTCAAATTTTCAGGCATGTTGGGGGGAGATATTGCCTCAATGAGTCCATAGAATTTGTAGGTTTATTTTTTGGATTTTTTTTGAATATATTATGAATATTAGTAAATAAATACAAATAAAAATATTTTAAAAATTAAATTTTTTAAACATTTAGGGGAGATAAAATCTTTCAATGAGTGCATGGTAGTTGTCAGTTTATTCTATGGAATTTGTTTTGAAATTATTATGAATATTAGGAATAAAATATAAAAGTCATACAAAAATTAAATGACAAATGTACATAACCAACGTTGTATCCGTTTACAACAACGGTACATAACACATAACGCCGTCCTAGAAACATTAGACGTCGTAATGTACTCCCCGACGTGGTTAGTATGTTACTACGTCAACCTTTTCTTAATAACCGACGTAAGTAGAATTTACATCGTCGATTATTATGTTAATGACGACGTTGTTTACATATACAACGTCACGTTTATCTTTTAACTGACGTCGTCTCTGTTGTACTAACGGACGTTGTATGTTTATATTAACCGTTGTGTATATCAACCTTACATGACGTTTTTGAGAAATGCAGTCGATATTTTCTTTCCCTCTACTTCAAGACTGCGGTTGTTCATAGATATGAGACATGTAAATAAGAATGAGATGTCGGTTTTTGGGATTTAATTTAAATTTTTATGATATATTTTCATTTTATTTCATTTAACGACATAAATATCTTATCCAAAAAAAAAAACTAGAAACAAAAATATATTTCATTTGGTTTTTTTTATGAATGTTCAATTAATTACCAAAAATATGTTTATATACGTAATCAAAAATTAAAATAAACCAAAACATTTTAAAAATAAATTATATCACTTATTGTTCTGTAATTGCTTGTTCACGAATTCTGCCCATTCTAGCCTGACTTCGTCAATAAGTTCTTGAGTATACACAACTGGTTTCTTTTTCTTGTCAAACTGCAAATAAAGAACAAAACCGACGTGTTATAAATAATAAAACGACGGTTTTAAAAGAAAACGTCGTGGTATTAAAACAAAGAAATTATATCTTAAATTTTACCTTCTTCTCAAATGCTAGGCCTGGATCATGAATTATATCTCTCATGAAACGCATCACGTAACAGCCACACTCTACATTTGTTGGTTGTCTAGGAGTGCCTTGTAGATTTTTCCATATGGGTGATTTACGTGATGATTGTTTGCCTGTGTGAGAGTTATACATTTTGATTGAACTGTTTCAAGAAAACAAAAAGTGTTAATGACAAAACTAAAAATCAGCATTAAAAAATATTAACCGTCGTGGTAAATAAGTGAAGACGATGGTTTGTTAAAACAAATGACGTCTTATTTTAGTTCAAACAGCAGAAAATAAGAACTGTCGTTGTGTATCATTCTAACGTCGGTGACGAAGAAAAACGACGTATAACCAAAATTGTTTTTAAATTTTAAAGTTGAACAGAAAAAATTAAAACGTCCTAAAATGAAAAACACAAACGACGTGGTATTTCAATTAAGACAACGGTTTCAAAAAAATACTGACGTTGTAATTGATTTCAAACGTCGGGTATAATATACCGTCATTGTATTTTCACTACAACGTCGGTATTTTAAAAATCCGTCGTATCATTCAAATGCATAAAACAAAAATCTTACTTTTTCGTCAATATACTTACGTATTCACTATATTTCTCATGTCCTCGTCAACAGAGCAGTTTGGCAATGAATCCATGTAATAGACAGTCTCCTTAGCTGGTCTCACAATTATTAACACCCAATGACCCCTACACAAAATGATCCATATATATTAAATATACTACAAAAAAAATATTACAAGGGACCAAGTATAGAAGGGGACTAACCCTGGATTATAAGTCACCAAGTAAAATTGATCCCCATCTGCATTTTTCAGGCGTTCTGAGAGATGTTTTGAACGGTGAGATAACGTTCCAGATTGAGAGCTGACTTGTCCAGGGTCCACGAGGCCAACAAGGTTTACCATATTTGCCATTTTTAAATAGTCAAATAAGTACCTAATTAAATATATGAAATTCAATTAAATGAGATTTTAATTTAAAAGAAAGGAAATATAAAAAAAACAAAATTGGATTTCTAGAATTACCTCATGTATACTGCAATCACTGTGGATCCAATCTCAACCATGGAAGAAACTGTAAAATGTCTTCACTCAAGAGCCAGATATCATGATCAGTGCCAAACACCTCCTCTGGCATGTGAATTCTAATGGTCTCGTTAGCGGGCTTCAACTTGGTGTCGACATATTGGCATAGGGCTAACAAAGGAGCTGGCATGTCAAGCTTTGACATATCCTATAACAAGAAATAAATAAAGTTTGTACATGAAGTAAAATAAATGACTCCAACAAATCAAAAAACCGACGTGGTGACAGGACCCGACCCAAATTCCACTTTGGAATCCGAGCTGAACTCTGTTCGTGATAAACACCTGACGGGTGCCGAGCACAATTGACTTGGTTGCCATTTTCTGATTAAAAACTTAATTTCCCTTAAATCCTGACTTCTCCCGAAAATTCGGCAGAGTCTCCCCTGTAAATCGAACGTTCCCAAAATTTACACCTGTCAACAAGCACTTAAATATATACACCAACTGCCAGTATACAAAAATAAGTATTTTCCAACAGTAAATACGTTCCAGGGCAATATTAAAGCAACTATACAGGTTTATTTACAAAGGAGGTAACTACTTGTGAACCAAGGAACCCTACATCAAAATGGGGAAGAGCGGGAAGCGGGAAATGCCTTGTGGTGGCTCTCGGATGCACGTCTACAGCCTGGGGGCGCAAAACATTAAAAAGGTGAGTGGACCCAAAAACAAAGTTTAGAAAATACATAAGAACATACTAACAAAAAAAAAAAAAAATAAAAAAAAAATAAATAAAGCAAAACTAAATCATTCTCTCCATTATATTTGTAATGAAATCAAAGCACACACATATATATATAAATATATGCCAATCATACTCATGGTCATCTTTTAAACTCTTAAAAGCACTGAAATCAATTTAAAACTACCACCTAGGTGTACCCTTTTATTTCCGTCAATTCCTAATATCCGTCAATTTCTAATATGCCGTCAATTCCTCGTATCACCATTGGTGACACGTCCTCGCAGTTCTCGGTGACACAAAGTCAATCCGAGCCGCAACCTCGCAGGATTCAGGGGACCTTGGTCAACCTGATCCGCGTCCTCGCTCCACACGAGTCCGGGTACCATAGAACTCGTGGGGCAACTGTCAAGCATGCTGACTAAACCGAAGGCAACTGATAAAATCCGAAGGCAACTTGGATGTCCGTGGACATCATCATATCCAAGGCAACATCTATATATCTGGGTACCTAAGGTGGCTTAGAAAATAGCAATAATAATAATAAGCAAAGTTTTTGAAAGATCTGATAAATAACTGAATTTCTATTAAAGCTGGACTCTGCTGCCATTTATCTGATGTTTAACTAAAATTCTCTTTCCCTATATCCCTAAAGGGTATTCCACTCGGCAGCAAGCAAATCATAATATTTAAAAGCATGTCTCACTAATAAAACACTAGTCTTTGAATAAAACTTATTCAAGTTCAAATACTGAAACTAAATTGCATAAATTCATTTATGAAAACAAAGAGTCCACTCAAGGTTGGTCAGAGCTTGCTGGACCTTTGGAAGGTCCCTCCTGCGGGTCAACTGGTGCCCGAGTGCCTGATTCAAATACCATAATAAAATATATTAATAAAACTGCTCTGTATAAATATTTAAATAAACTCTGACCCCCGGCTTTTAGAAGTGTGTGCATCAATTTAAAGTTATTCATATGCCCACATTACGTTCCTTTAATCCTAGGACATTCGTCCCGTGAATCTGGTTTCGATCGGACGGTTAGATTCATCACGATTACACGATCGACGATTCTAAATCCTTAACCTAGGGTTCGCGATTTCGGAGTATCCGGGACTCCGATTCATGATCCGTCGAATCTTACACAATCCTGGCAAGGTCTAGATTAACATATCTGAAACTGATCACGACCCAACGGTTCGAAACTATTGAACCCGGATAAGGCACACTATGTAAAAGTCCGCTTAACACTCAAACGACGTCCGAATTGAGATCCCGAATTTCTACACGTTCGTGACAATACAAGGATCATTCTGAAACTGAGAGTGGTCCCCTCTAGACTGGCCACGCGTCGCCACACGCACCGGCAGCTTGGGTGGCTTGAGAAACTTCCGGTGGCCGGAAAAACTCCAAACCGCCGGCCCAAACTCCTAACCTAGGTAAAACACCCAATTTGGAATCGCTTTTGTTCTTGGACCTACCCCAAAAAGTGGCCGGAACTGTGCTCTCAAAACCAGCTGAAACCTAACTCGTAAATCGAGCTATCTACGATTGAAATTTCTAAAATCCTACCTAACCAGCAGCTAAATGGCGAAAAATAGGTAGGAATCGATACCTTGATTGTCCGATTTGGTAGCCAAACGACGAAGATCGAAGGTTGTGAAAATCGATTGAAACCGGCGGGTTTTTCTCCAGTTTCCAATGAGCTCCGAGGTCGGCAACGACTGAGGCTGGTCAGGACGTGATGGGGGAAGGATGACGGTTCAAATAGATCCGGTCTCGTGGCCGGTGGTTCACGGTGGCGGTGGTTACGGAGGAAAGAAGGTGGCGGGTTGAAACAGAGGGGCGTTGTGTCGCGAGGAAGAAGAGTGAGGCAGGAGGGAGAAAGTCAGTTGTTTAAAAAAATCCTGGTCTCCAAAATTACCATTTTACCCCTTGAAATACTTTGACTGTATTTTCTTCATTATAACTCCAATTCGAGCCCACTACGTGCCTACGGACTCGTTTCGTCGCACTCTACGCAACGGTGCAAACAGAATTTCCAATTTCAACTCCGGTCAAAAAGTCAACTTCTCAATTACTAAAATAGTCTAAGGGCAAAAGTGTCTTTGTTCCCTTAATAAACTAATAGTTAAATATTAATTAAGGTTTGGGTTATTACACATGGTATATAATATCAACGACTGTTTCTAAAACATACTGACAGGGTAAAGGTTATAGACGATGATAAATACGTAACAGTCGTTGTGTAAACGTTATAACGTCGCTACATAATAGAAAGGTCATCTAGGTTAAACTAGTCAACAGTTTTAAAATAAACACTGACGTCTATTTAAAATTTAAAATTCAGAAAAAGCAAATGTCAGAGATTTTACCGTTTGATCTTGACGGTTTTCAGCAGCATCATCATCAGCATGAGCATCATTTGTGGGTTTGTCTTCATCCAATTCAAGGCCTCACACATTAGAGCAGCTTGCTTTGTCAGACATTGGATTTTTTGGGCTTTGCTCTTGAGTAATTGGAGGAATTGGAGTAATTGGTGTAGTTGGTGTAGTTGGAATTTTACTGAGCAAGTTGGGATCAAAGTTGGGAATTAGTTGACTGAATTATTTCAACATAATTTCCCTCTCTGCTCTAACTGCCTCCATAACACTTTCCTTTGCCCTGGCCTCCATCTTTTTTGTTTCCTCTCTCACTGCTGCCACAACACTTTCCTTCAATTTGTTAGCAAATTTTACTCTCTGTTGTCTTGGCAAATTGAAGAATTGAGTTGGGGAAACCCCAGCTCCAACACCTCTGACTCTCCCACCATGCTTAGGGGTTCCCAAAGCCAAGGTCAAAACATCGTTGCTACCAGAGACAGTCAGAGTGCCCTCAGAGACTTGTTTTTTCAAATCATCCAAAGATTGAGAGAGAGAGAGAGAATGTTAGTGAGTGAACAGATAGTAAAACTGATTAAATAAATAAATTAATAAAAATATTAACCGACGAGGTAAAGTGATTAAGACGACAGTTTATTTAAAAAACAGTCGCAGAAAAGAATTTAATATGTCAACCCAAAACTACCGTCGTGTTGTATACGTTAACACGTCGATCCATTAAAAAAAACCGTCGTTTATTTGACATCAGAGATAAAAAAAACTTAACCAAAATATTCATTGATCTAGATATAGTGTACAAACCAATTGCAAAGAAATAGAGAGGGAGAGAGAGTGCGTGTGAGTGTGAATATGAAGAAAGTTCAAAATTTAATTTAAAAAACCTAACACAAAACCGTCGTTGTAATTCTATACAGACGTCTATTTTATAAAAATACTGATGTTATATATTTTTTAAAAGGCGGTAAATAAAAACCGTCATGGGGTTTCATGTCTAACGATGGTTACTAAAAAGATCGACGTCTGAATGAAAAATAAAACCTCTGTTTTACAAGTTTAGAACAGAGTCAGTGAGACTTATGATTAATTTTACCTTCTCTGCAACCTTTGGATCAGGGATGATTCCCTGTTTATCTTCTCTTGCCTTCTTCCATAACAGAGATCGATCGATTTCTTCACCGGGCATGGTTTCTTCCAATTCATCCTCCAAACCAATCTACCCTTTTCGAGACAACCTATGGTTGTACCCGCATTTCTCCCTTCTCTGTGACTGCTCAGAATGCACAGCCTCAAAATCTGGGGATAACCTTGACGCTAAAAAGGCATCCCATTGCGATTTCTCTATGAAGTTATAAAGTTGAGGGGGCTCTTTTAAGGTAGACTTAAAATCCTTCCATTTTTTGGTGGTAGACGACAACACCATCTTCTTGCCCCCTTCCCCAACAACATAAGCCATTTGAACAGCTTCCAAAATCTGCTCCTTCAGGTCCTTGGGCAATTGAGTCCATTTCTTGTCCACAAGAGGGACTCTGGTGCATGCTAAAACACCAATGTAACTCTGCATCTCAATAGAAACTTTGCCATGTTGTTTGCCACTTTATTGTACTCAACCACAGGCTTAATCTTCTGGATTTTCCTCTTCACAACACGGCTTATTGTGTTGATACCGCGAGTCGATTTCGTCACTTCATCAAATGTCGCAGAGCTTGGGTCTTTCTCAGAGGATGAAGCAAATCTCATCTTCTTTGTGGGATTTCTTGGAATAGATTTGGATTCAGCCATTTGTGCCTTTGAAACTACAATGTCCTTGCCTTGACCTTTTGCAGCTTGAGCCTCCTTACTTTGAGATTTCAAAACCATGTTTAAAGAGAAGTACAAACTGCAAGAAAAACAACGACAGTTAGGTAAAATACAGACGTAAAATGAAAGTTCAGACGACGGCAAACAAGTATAACTGTCGTGCTAATCTATAGAAACGTGGATGTGCTAATACGACGTGGTCATTAACTTAAGACGACAGTAATCAAATACAACTGTCGTCATATTATAAGTTCATAATATAAAAAACCACCCAGTTTTTCGCTCCCACGTTCGTTTCAAATAAGACGACGGTTCTCTATTAAAAACGACGTATTTATTAACACACCACGTCGGTTATTATGAACAGTCGTGCTATTAAAATAGCACGAATTTAATTACCGTCACGGTGTATCAACAAAAACGTCAAATTTGATAAAAACTCGTCGTCCTCACATGAACTGTTAGTGGGAACAATGAAAGATTTGGCCTTTTCATACTCTAGTCTTGTTTCAAACATCAGTGCGACTTTTTTAAAAAAAAAAAAAAAAAAAAAAAAAAAAAAAAAAAAACCTTCCCTTTTTTATTAAGAAAGGAAAGGGAAGAAAAAAAAAAAAAAAAGTGAGAAAATACCTTTGGCTTGCAAAGAAAGTTTTCTTCGGAATAAAATTTTGGAGACGAAGACGAGGAAGAACGTAAAAGAGAGGGAAACTGAGAATCAGAAACGCAGCTTTTCATAAATGAGAGGGAAACTGAGAGAAAACTGAAAATTTTAGAGAGAACGTAAAAGTTTAGGTCAGGTGACCAAAAATTTTATATAGTGTCCCATAGATATGACAATGACGGTAATCATAAAAACCGCCCTAGTACGTACTTACCACGACATTAAAATAACATCAACCGACGTGGTTAGTAAAAACGCCTTTTGAATTTTTTTATTCCGAAAACGACGTGGTTTGTTGGGCGCTACACGTCAAAAGTTTACTTTTAAAGAAGCATTATGATAAGTTGCCACATCGCTTTTTTATAGGTAACCGACGTTGTTTGTCTACTCCTAGTTGCCTTTAGTTTAATAACTGATGTTGTTTGGTATTTAATACGTCTTCTGTGTTTCAAGAACTGATGTTAGGTGTAATATAACCAACGTGTATATGAATTTTTTTTTTATAAATTGAGGTTTTTTTCACGAGTTCTTTCATTTTCAGTTTTCAATTAGGGTTCCAACTTCATCCGTCTCTCCTCTTAGGAGGCGATTGTTTGGATGTTGATGTGTGTGTGTGTGTTTGTGTAGCTGGAGGACACAAACACACACACATCATCAACTTCCAAAAAATTGTCTCTCTGAATGCAAATCTGTTTCTGCCGTCGTCAAATTTTAGAGGCAATTATTTGGATGTTGATGTGTGTGTGTGCGTTTGTGTATCTGGAGGACACAAACACATACACATCATCAACTTCCAAAAAATTGTCTATCTGAATGCAAATCTGTGGTTGCCTTCGTCAAATCTTAGTGGCAAATTTTTGGATGTTGATGTGTGTGTGCGTTTGTGTATCTGAAAGACACAAACACACACACATCCTCAACGTCTGAAATATTGTCTTTCTGTGCTCCGATTTTGATAAGGAACAGAGTTCCATCTGGTAAGATTTCATAACTCTTGGGATCTCAGAAAAATCTAATTTTGTCGGCGGTTTTCTGTATAAACCGTCGTGGTTATTCTCAATTCTTGTCATTAATATGATCTATTGACATAGGAAACCAAAATAATATAAATAAATTGAAAAAAAAACTATTAAGACGACGGGTTAGATATAACATGAGACGTATAAAGTCAATAAATACGACGGTAATTTTAACTTCACGACGTATCTCTTGGGATTTCAGAAAAATTGATTTTGTCGGCGGTTTTCTATATAAACCGTTGTGGTTATTCTCAATTTTTGTCATTAAGTTGGTCTACGATCGTAGGATATCAAAAAAATAGTAAAAAAATAATATTATTAAGACGACAGTTTATATATCATGGATGATGTATAAAGTGAATAAATACGACGGTAAATTTAACTTCACGATGTGGTAAATTTTATTATACGGCGTTAATTGAACAAACCAACGTGGTTAGAGTTAAATATACTGTCGTAGTATGCTACAAGACATAAGTCGATAAATTTATCTTTACCGTCATTGTACATTTAGTTAATACGGCGGTTTTTTGTAATTTACCGCCGTGGATTCCTTTGAAATTATGTGACGAATACGAAAACTTGGTCGTGTTTCCTACGGAGTAAAAACGGCGGTTATTTATTTACACCGTCGTCTTGACTTTCTAAGTCGGTGGATTCATACCTTCTGCCGTTGTTTTTTGGCTCAAAGTTTACTCTGAGGAAAACCTTTTTCAATAAGACGTTGGTTTTAAATTAGGTGTGTCGTTTTTTCAGAACACTCTTTATAATCTTCATTTTAGTTGTTTAAGTTAAAAATACACGGCGGTTTTATAAAACCGTCGTCTTTTCAAACACAATGACGGTTTTCCGTTGAACCGTCGTTTTTTTCTGATCGTCTTTTTCACTTTTTGTAGTAGTTTTCGGTGAAATAAAGAGTTTGCCGATTGAGTTCTCCACAAAATTACAGAAAGAGTAAATTTGGTGGGACCTCTATTCTTCTTTTTTCACATAGGGTTTTTCTTTTTTAATACAAGCTTTGGGCTTAAAGTGTAGGTATTGGATGTGCCATGTGGGAGCTCCACCTGAGAAAGACCTAAAAATAATTAAGAAAACTGAGTTTGGGTGGGATTATACGGCTGAATTTTTATTTTTTTTAAGTGTGGGCAGCTAGATGCCCACAGTTGTCCTTATATGCGTGGGGGCCTCTTACCAAAAAAAAATATATATATATATATATATATAAAATTCTAACTCACAATACATTCCAAAGTAACCGAAAAAACCAAAACATCATACATAATACAAATCTAATGAAATTTTTAAAGTTTTTTTCTTTTGGTAATCTACAAATTAGTTGAAAGATTCATTGAACTCAATAAAGAATAATTCAAATTTTCACAAACCCTAACAAACTATATATAGGCAGAGAGAAAAGAATAAAAAAAAAGAGAAAGATTAACAATCTTAATTAAGTGAGTCAACCCAATTGAAGGATTTTTCGTATTATTTCTGAATGTTGGATTGTGATTCAGTTGCTCAAGAGTGGCCAATTTGAGTTCGAAGGTGCAAAGGGTAAGTCAAGCTTAAGCTTTGGATTCTAGGTACGGGGACTCACTCCTGGACTTGTATTTCTGTGTGTATGTATGACATAGTAAATATTGTTGGGTGCGAAAGATGCACTGTTTTTGGATACCATATTGTTTGGTTTTATGCATGCTTGGCTTTGGATTTCTAAAGTTTGGAGGGTATACGCATGTTGGATTGTGATATAGTTGCTCAAGAGTGGCTAGTTTGAGTTCGAAGGTGCAAAGGGAAAGTTAGGCTTCAGCTTTGGATTCCAAGTAAGGGGACTCACTCCCGGACTTGTATTTTTTGTGTGTATGTATGACATAGTAAATACTGTTGTGTGCGAAAGATACATTGTTTTTGGATACCATATTGTTTGGTTTTATGGATACTTCGCTTTGGATTTCCAAAGTTTTGGAGGGTATATGTCTCCAGGTATTGTCCTTGAGGACCTGAGGTTGAAAGAGCCAGCGACTTCCTTGGGTTTTGATTCCTTAAACCTCCGAAGGGATTACACGGATAGACATTACCAATACCCATATGTAAGGTTTAGTCAATAAGGTGCAGCCAGTAAATGGACACTCTCGCTACCATACCAGGTAAGTTGGTTATATTTTTTATTTTTGATAGGGGTAGTTGGCCTTGAAGGATCGGTTGTTAGACAAGCATATTCTGGCCTGAAAACCAATTCCGAAATATGTGTAAGCATGCCAACTGTTTTTGGATCCTATATTTATATGCCAACTGTCAAACCTGGTGGTGACAGGACCCGGCTTGAATTCTCCATTGGAATTCATGAAAAACCCCATTTCCCATCTGACATACACCTAATGTTGGACCCAGTTTACTAAGAAGCCCTTTAAACCTAATTTAAACTAATAAACAATTTGACTTCTGCCGTAATTTCGGCAAAGTCTTACCTGTAATTGAAACATTTCCCAAATTATAGTACCTGCAAACAAGTACAAAAATAATCCCAACTTTCAGCATGCACACACAGCCATTAAGACTATTGAAATGGGCCCCACACCCTCTACCCAAACTCAAATGAACAAGCAGAACAACTAAGATATATATATATACAACCCGGGGAAAAGGAAAAATAATAGCTAAGATAAAAGAGAAATTCCTATAGTGCAGAGAGCCATGATGCCTCGACGTAGTGGTCTCGATCTTGGACATTTAGAACCTGGGAGGCGCAAAACAGAAAATGTGAGTGAATGAAAACAAAGCGTTAAACATAATTTATATTCAACATAAATATGTCCCTTCATTTGAGGAAATAATACCAAAACACCATGCAATATATTTCTTCAGTAAATGTACATATGTATATCATTCAAAACTTGAAATACTTCAATTCAATAGACTGATATCATAACAAACTATAACTAAAACCATATATTAAATGCATTCTAAATTTCTTGGAGAACATTGTAAAACCTTCAAAGTAAAACCCTTTTACTCAAGCACGTTTGTGTAACATCCATTTCGAACCAGGGGAGGAACACGTTGTGTACAGCATGTACCCAGGAAACAATCCAACCGAGGGATTATTGACTAGACCACAGAATAGCAACACATTACCCTGTGACTAGGATTGAGCATTCCAACCAAGGGACCATTACTCCACAGCACACACGCCGGCAACACATCGCACATGCGGCTGAAACAAGTTCTACACGCAGACTGCCCCTCTAAAGGCCTACGGCACACACCACCAGGGGTGCCCAGTTATCCTCCCACACACCGGCAACACATCGCATGTGTGAGTAACATTCTTATCCAAGTGGTGGTATAGGAGTCGTCTCTGACAAAGACATTATTGGACC